CCTATGGCAGTGATTCTAAAGACTGACGGGAGAAGGACAGCTCCTTACAGGATCCCTAGAGAACCTGATGGGCATTTTCAAGCCACATTTCCTTCTTCCCTCCCTTGCTGTTGTTCTCAGACTCTCAAACTCACTGCCAGCGAGTCGATTCTGACTCACAGTCACCCTCCGGGACAGGGGTAAACAACCCTGTGGGTTTCCAAGACTGTAACTCTTCACAGGCGTAGAAAGCCTATCTTTCTACCACAGAGGCTGGTGGTTTCCAACTGCTGGCCTTGGGGCTAGCAGCTAGTGGGTAACCTACCATGCCCCCAAAGCTCCTTGGTTGTTACTGTTAGCTTCTGTCAAGGTAGCCCCCAACCCATGGCAGCCTCGTGAACAATGGAACAGAAAGCTCTCTGGTCCCGAATCATTTTTATGATTGTTTGCAGATCCTGTAGGCTTTCACTGCCTGATTCTCAGAAGCAAGTCATTCGCCCTTCTTCCTAGTCTATCTCAGTGTGGAAGTGCTGCGGTCATCTATTCAAGATCAGCGCAACATCCAAGCTTCCAATAACAGGTGAGTGATGCCTTTCCATTAGATGCAATGTCCAAAGTCCTCTCTGCTTCTCCTTGTGGATGTCCGTTCCAGGTGAGCGACTGTTAATAAGTCATTCACTCAGTAAGCACTTGCTCCCTGCCTGGGACTGTATCATAGGCTGGTCACTCAATGAGTAAAAGCAGAGGAAACCCTGCCATAATGGAACTCACAGTCCAGGGGTGATGAGAAAGGAAAGGAGACAAGTATTACTACGTCACATTGGTAAATGCAGGATTCTGGGCAGTATGGTAGGCAACTTATATGCATCTGTCTGACTGTAATTTGGTATAAAGTGACATTGATCAGTGTTTGATCAGTGGTATGAGTGATTTAACCTTGTCTGTGGATGGCCGGGTTGGTTGGGAAAGGATTCCACAAAGAAATGAGACTGCAATTTGAAAGAAGGAGATGAGAAATATTGCGGCCAAGCTAATGACAAAACCTTCATGGCTAAAGTGCAGAGAAAGAGGAGATGTGGTATGAAGTGTGGTTGGAGAGTGTGGTAGTGACATAATTTCATGTCAACTAGATAAATAGGATGTAGGGCGTGGAGTCTAGCCTGTCAATCAGGTCACAAGGTAACACCTTATTTCTCTTCCTCCCTTGGAGGTGGGACCCACTCTCTCTGCTTTATCTTCCTGTGGACAAGCCATATGAAGCTATGCTGATGGCAGCCAGAGCCCTGGAGCTGGAGGAGCCACACAGAGAGCCACGCCAGCACTGAGATATTTCCATAAGACTTTTCACCTACTGGCCTATGATGCTTCCTACTTTTGGCATTACTACATGTGCCGCACAAGTCTGTAGAAAGATGTATGGACTAGTATCAGACTTATGGGCTAACATTCGGCTTATGGGCTAATATCTAGCTTATGAACTTGATCTGGACTGGGTTGGGATTTTTTTTAATATACAATTACTCTTGGATATAAAACTCTCTCTTAGACACATATGAGTGTCTCTGGATTTGTTTCTCTAGTCAACCCAGGCCAACAGAGAAAGGATGGAGTAGCTCTAGGGGAGTCTTACAGACCACATTGAGTCTTCTCTGGTGTTACAGTTCTGTTTCCTGGATCCAAGAGGTTCAATGCAAGAATGTTAGGATCCGAAGGACTTGCTCCATTCCTAACTCCTTTTTTCTTGATGACTGTGAGGTCCTTGTTTCCTACTTATGAGATAGTTCATTTAAAACCCAACAGGTTGGCAAACATATGCACATAGGGAGTGAAATGATTTTGAGGGGAAAATACTATGGCTAGAAGAACCATAGATCACCGAGCTGCAAGGGGTTAAAGCTTTTAGTGTGTTAACTCAGAATTTAGACTTCTATTAGGACGGCGTGCAGCAGGGTTGTATACTTCAGCCATACTTATTTAATATGTATGCTGAGTACCTATTCCAATAAAGTGGACTATATGAAGAGAATAACATGGCATTAGCATTAGAGGAAGACTCGTTAACAACCTGTGGTAAGCAGATGACAAAATTTAACTTGCTGAAAACCGAGAAGACATGAAGCACTTAGTGATAAAGATCAAGGACTACAGCCATATCTGTGTATAACTTCATATAAATAAAACAAACATCCTCACAACTGGGCCAACAAACAACATCAAGATTGAAGTTGTCAAATACTTCATTTTGCTTGGATCCACAATCAATGCTTACTGAAGCAGCAATCAAACGACATATTGGATTGGGCAAATCCACTGCACAAGATCTCTTCTAAGGGCACAGATACCACTTTGAGGACTTATGTGCACCTCACCCAAGCTATGGTGTTTGCAATCGCCTCATAAGCATGTGAAAGTTGGACATTGATTATGGAAGACTGAAGAAGAATTGATGCATTTGAATGGTGGTATGGTGAAGAATATTGCAAGTACCATGGACTGCCAAAAGGACAAACAAATCTGTCTTAGAAGAAGTAAGTCCAGAGTGCTCCTTACAGACGAGAATAGTGATAGCTTGTCTGGCATACTCTGGATGTGTTTTCTGGAGAGACCAGTCCCTGGAGAAGGACATTATGCTTCGTTAAGTAGAGGGGCAGAGTAAATGAGGAAGCCCTCAAGGAGAGGGATGGACACAGTGGCTGCAACAATGGGCTCAAGCACAGGAACAATTGTGAGGATCCACAGGACTCAGCAGTGCTTTGTTCGGTTGGGCACAGGGTCGCTATAGGTCGTGACCAGCTCAATGACACTTAACAACAATACATAGTAAAGCCAGGGAAAAGAGGATGGGTCTGGGCCAAGTGATAAAACATTCAAGTAAAACAAATAAAACATTCAAGTAATGAGGGGAAAAACACTAAGCACACACACACATACACCCTCATTGCCATCCAGTATATTTGAACTCATAGTTTTTTGAATGCTCTTCAGGAAAATTGTGCTTGCATGTAATGTCAACAATATCGAGCTATAGTTTGGGCATTCTGTTGGGTCGCCTTTCTTTGGAATGAGCACAGATATGGATCTCTTTCAGTCAGTTGGCCAAGTAGTTGTCTTTCAAATTTCCTGGCATAAATGAGTGAGTACTTCCAGTGCTTCATTAGCTTGTTGAAACATTTCAATCGATATTCCATCCATTCTTGGAGCCATAGTTTTGGCTAATGCTTTCAGTGCAGCTTGAACTTCTTCAGCACCATTAGTTCTTGCTCATATGCTACCTCCTGAAATGGTGCAATGTCAACTAGTTTTTGGCAGTGACTCTGTATTCTTTCCATCTTCTCTTGATGCTACTTGCATCATTTAATATTTTACCCATAGACTCTTTCAAGATTGCAATGCCAGGTTTGAATTTTATTCTCCGTTCTTTCAGTCGAAGATATGCTGAGCATGTTCTTCCCTTTTGGTTTTTAATCTCTAAGTCTTTAAACATTTTATTAAAATATTTGGCTGTCTTTTTGAACTGTCCTTTGAAATTTTCTACTGAACTCTTTGACTTATCCTTTCTTCCATTTGCTTTAGCTACTCTACAATTAAGGGCAAGTGTCAGTCTCTTCTGGCACCTCAGGATTGTCCTCACTTCAAGCTTTCCAACTCCAGGGCTTTCTCTTGTGGCTTCCTCTGTCTGTAGTGAACTTCCATTTCTGCTTCCCAAAGTCCCACAGCTCCTTCAAGAGTATATATGTTCACCTCTAAGCTGGTCTGGACTTTGCCTCCTAAGAATGCTTCTCGGGTGGGGCACTGGGCACTGCACGGGGCCCTATGAGAAAGACCAGGCCTCAGTCTGGCACTTGAGGGCTCTCTGCATTGACAGAAACCCTCCTTTTGCTGCTGAGAAAGTTTCTCCATTCCTGGGTGCTCCCACAGCACAAGCTTGCCACAGTCACTATTTTCACAGCCTAGAGAACCATGGAGGTGTAGGGGTGGCTATTGGTGGGGTGCCGGAGAAAGAGGAGAGTTTCCTCTTGTCAGGATTGTCTCAGAAAGCCACAGGGGTAGTTCTAATCTTGTCTTATAGAGTTGGAACGATGTGATGGCAGTGAGTTTTGGTTAGGAGACCTCATGTCGCTGTCACATAAGCGTTACACTGTTACTTCCAAGGTTAATGGTTCAAACTCACCAGCTGCTCTGTGGGGGCAAGTTGAGGCTATTTGACCCCGGTTTGAGTCTCGGTTCGAGACTGTAAATCTTAATGGGGTCAAACCGAAAAGAGGGTGAAGGGAGATGTCAGACAGGTCAAGATATGACAAAATAACAATTTATAAATTATCAAGGGCCATGAGGGAGTGGGGAG